GAGAAGCGAGTCCTTAAAGACCTTAACTTTGTCATCCTTTCTCCGTGGCTGGATTGCAGACGAAACAACAACAGACTCAGTTATATACCTTAGGGAGATTTAGAAGAGAGGTGGAATAAGTTTACTGAAAAGAATAATTGAGGGTAATTAATCTAAAGAGTAAGATCTATGAAACTGTGGATTATCATTTCAAGGAAGACCCTCTGCTCAAGGCACTCTGGGGTCATGCTGGAGGATGAAGCTGTAAACACGTTAAGTTGAGAAATGAAACACAGCTTTCTGCCAGGGAGAAACTATTGCTTCCAGTGACTGTGCTTATATTTTAGGGGACAGAGGAGGGAGTCAAGATTGCTCCAACTCCTTTTAAGAACTACTGAACTACTAGAGCATCCCTTTCAGCTATTATCTCTCTTTGAAGACTCTTGCAAGGACTGTTAGCGTACAAAGCACTGGATACGTTTAACCGGAACAGCAAGGAGCAAACGAGTCAAGAAGGTACCCTAGAGAACCTGGGTTCAGTAAGACATATTGCGTTAAATTATCATAGTGCAACTGAAGTGGCTGTAAAGGACACAACATGCTATGTTTTATCATAAAGTCTGAATAGTGGCATTATATGGAGGATCATACATTTACTGCTTTGACAGCAGGGATAATCTAACCAAAGAAAAACAATATATATATAAAAAAGAAATGGTACAGTACAAAAGGGGATAAATAATAAGCTGTGTTGGACTCCCTTGCAAATAAACCAGTATAGGACAGCTCAGTATATTTCAGGGACAGTGAGCTATCAACAAAATAGTAGTATATGATAATATAATAAACGTTGCACTGCAGTGCTGGAAGGAATCGTATGGATCATCGAGTGGAGGTACCATCCTTACTGGTGTTTTTTATTTGCAGGGGTTCAACCAGAAATGTTTGACTCATAACCTACCTTTCTTCAGTCAACAGAGAACAAATAAAACAAACTCCCTACACAAGCTGTCATCATCTGATGTCACACTCATGAAGTAAACTCTCCCTAAGTGATGTTCCTCAGTTCTCAAATGACCGTCCTTTATCTTGAATGTCTACATAAGTATTGGGAGTTTAATTTCCAAGGATAATGCTTAAGCTGTCTTTTAACAACACTTTCTTTTATATCCTTCTACATTTCTCTAAATCTCTTAACCATTTTCTAAACAAAATGGGGGGGGAGGGGTTGAAGACCTTGAGTCAAAGGCTGTGATCCTTGGCTTACTTACCTGGAAGCAGAACATATTGAACTCTATAAGGATTACTGCAAAATCAGACACGTTTAAAGCCAGGCTAACTGGCTGTGCTGAGTAACTGTTGCATGGTTACAGGCCAAACGTTTTTTTTTCCATTGATAGAGGCACCAATTTACTTGCAAGTGCTTATATTTTACTGGATGTTGTTTCATTATGTCCTCATTAACATTTTCCTTATTGGAAAACAAATGCCTCGTTGTACAACTCTCTCCCGGCAAAAAAATAACAAAAGAAAAAGACAAAACATGAAACGACCTGAAAAATCCACAAGCGACTGGAAATTAAATGAAGGAAGAATCCTACGGCGCATTGAACATCCACAAATTTAGCTGTGAAATAAGCTTTTGTCTTAACAAATTTGTTCCTCTTTAAATGACAAGGTTCTTTGGGGTAAGCTTTTGCCATAATAAATGTGTTAGGCTTTGAGGTTAACACAGGCCTCTTTGTGGCTTTGCGTGCTTACAGCTGCAACAAACAGAGACAGCTACCCCTTTGGCAGCTTAATGCTGGATTTCATCCTTTCGTGGCACAGCCCCAGCTCCGTTCAAATGCTGCCGGATCAGCTCTTATGAACTTCTCTGAACCAAAGAAGGACTTCCAAGAAAAACAAAGGGCGCAGACAGACTGTACAGAGAGATTGAGGTTTCCCCTCTTCCCCTGAGAACACACACGCTCACGAGAAAAGGCACAGCTCTACCACCTATGACAGACAGTTCCTGCCTAGAGCTGCTGACAGCTAAACATTAACTGCCTCTAATCCTAACCCTGTGCCTCAGAAGACAATAAAGCTGATCTCTCCTTTGGACCTTACCTTGCAAGGGAAGGTTTGGGAAGCATGTTTCATTCTCTCCCAGTTTCTCCATGGTGTGGGTGTGAGAAAGGCAGTGGGTTCTTTCTGCAGGATTCAGGCACTGCCCAGTTGAGCTTATTACTGGGAAAGTTTGACCTCCTGACTTCCTCCTGCAGCAGTGTAATTGTACACCTTACTTTCTTCTCCGGATAATTAGCAAACTGACTTCCTGAGTTACCTGGGCTTGCCCGACCTGTTTCTCTATAAAGTGACATCACATGCTTTGATCTCCTCCGCTGAATTAACATGTGCTTTGGACAACAAGGTAGTTGTCTTACTTTGGACCCTCCTACGTGCACTCTCTCTCTCTCCCTCGGTCCCTTTTTGTAATCCTCTCCACTCTATTACTTTCACTTTTTGGCTGTAAGCTGCTTGCACAACGCTCGTTGTTATCAACAAGCATGTTAACAGTCTGAACATGGAAGACTCACGGCTCATAGTGACTGAAAGTTTCTTTTTCTTCTTTTTCTCCATCTCAGAATTTGAACTTGGTAAAGAAAAACTGCAACTAGATTTCTGCACGCAGACAAAAATATATATCCTTAGTGGTATCATGCTAGGCTAAAGGTGATTTATTCCGGATGGAATTGCAGATGAATTTCTAGACAGCCAGTATACAGTGTTAGTAGGATGCTGGAAAGTTGACATGGACAATCCAAATTCTAGTTCCTGTTGAGCCCTGAAACTCACTGGATGACCAGTCAATCACTCTCTTGAGGGCTGACTTCCTGCCCTGAACACTGCCCTGAATTCATTGAAGGGAAGATGGAATATGATATACAGTACCTAATGGCTGGGGGTTCATGAACACTGCCCTGAATTCATTGAAGGGAAGATAGAATATGATATACAGTACCTAATTAACTAACTAATAAATGCATAAATGGCACAAATGTGTAAAAGCTTGGAACAGTGTCTAGTGTGGCTGAGGAGGCCACACTAGACGCTTATGAAGACCTTATGAATAAAGACGCTTATGAATAAATGCATAAATGGCACAAGAAAGTTGTGTAAAAGTGGGCTGAAATAAGGCGTGACCTATACTTTACAGGTAATTTGTCACTAGAAGTCCATTAAGTACTGACTGTATATGATTGTTATCCCAGGAGTTGTTCTCAACTTCTGTAATTTACAAACTAGCCTACTTTGTGTTGCAGCTGGTCTTCATAAGCATATTCTTCCTTTATAAGGGTTCGATCAGGCACCTGCAAAGGTTGAAACCCTGGACACACTGGAAAGGTGTTCAATTAAAGGTTGCTTTAATGAGAGCAACCACCCTTAAAAGAACCCTTCCATTTGTTGGGGAAGGTCCCAAAAAGAAGAAGACTCAAAGGTGGATCAAAAAGGTCCAATTTAGGGCCCCTTAATATTGAAAATATGTATATATTTAACATCGGGAACAGTTAAAGGGTATACTTTGTATATTAAAAAGGAGAAGTAAATTGAAATAAGGGAGCCCTAATCAGGGTAAAGAGGTAATATGGCGGTTTTTTATTTTAGGTAAACTGAACTAGATATAAAGCTGGAACTAGATCTGGAACCACTTTCAATAATAATGTTATTAGAAGACCTTGAGAAGATTATACAATATGAGAGTAATATTATGATAGTAGTCAGATTATATACTACAATCTGTACATGAATGGATTGAATGTTTGAAAGATGTCTGGAATTTGGGGGGACAACCGGGAAGACACTGAGATGTAAAAAACAAATAATTGTAAGCAAAGCATGTAACACGATGTTTGATAAGCACAAGCAATGTAGATAGATTGAAAACTAATAAAATGTTTATATACAAAAAAAGGTCCAATTTAGACATGGATCAGGGTCTGTCTTGAGTGCATTTCCTCTTCTGGCTTGTGATTGCCAGAAGATAGATTGCATTAAACTGCTCCACAAGTGGTCCACATTTGGGACATTTTTTTCCTCCATTTGATCACACCCTGAGTCTGATTTCTCAGAAATGAAACACTGACTCAGTCCCACCTTTTATTTGCCAATACAATTTCAGTTCTGGTGAAACATTATTTGCAATATAGAAACAGAGCCTCCAATATCCATTTTTCATTGTCCTTTTCTCAATTTTATTTAAAACTATCTGGTTATAACAAACAAGCTGGCTAGACAGCTCACTGGTTTTAGTATCAATCTGCAGAGTAACGGGTTGGGGGACTTCGATTCTCCACTGTGCCTCCAGAGAGAAGAGCCAGTCCGTGTGGCCTTGGCCAAGCTGTACAGTCCCAGGATTCCCCCAGAAGAAGAGAATGATAAACCATTTCTGTGTATTCTCTACATAGAAAACTCCAGAAAGGGTCTCCAGCAGTAAGAATTGATTATTATTCTTTATTATTCTATTATTTACACAGTTACTATTATAACTGTTATTTATATTGTTTAAATATGTTATTTATATTATTTAAATTATAATAATCGATAACATCAAGGAATATAGATTTGAGCTTTTGACAAGAAAATGAAGAGGGGTGATAGGGGAGGAAGAGGAGATACAGTAGTGGGTGCGGGGAATGGTAACAATTATAACAATTGCCAGAATTTTACAGACTTCTTCTCTAACAGCTAGTGAGAGCACAGCCAGGTCCTGGTTGATTGTGTTGCCATTAGGCTGAAAACGCTCCAGCAACCTAGCAAAAGATTCTCAGAAAAGGTTCCTTAAATCTTTTTCTCTCGGTCTGAGGTAATTAAATGGTTGGAGAGTATAACAAAAGGAAAAATAACAATCTGAAATGAAACTTTGCTACTTTTTTCATTATTTTACGGGAGGGAATGAAAATATTGTGAATGAAGAACTAATTGCGATTATGTTAGGAGGAGCCCGTGGTGAAATTGCCCAACACTGCACTCACTCACTCACTCACTCACTCACTCACTCACTCACTCACTCACTCACTCACTCACTCACTCACTCACTCACTCACTCACTCACTCACTCACTCACTCACTCACTCACTCACTCACTCACTCACTCACTCACTCACTCACTCACTCACTCACTCACTCACTCACTCACTCACTCACTCACTCACTCACTCACTCACTCACTCACTCACTCACTCACTCACTCACTCACTCACTCACTCACTCACTCACTCACTCACTCACTCACTCACTCACTCACTCACTCACTCACTCACTCACTCACTCACTCACTCACTCACTCACTCACTCACTCACTCACTCACTCACTCACTCACTCACTCACTCACTCACTCACTCACTCACTCACTCACTCACTCACTCACTCACTCACTCACTCACTCACTCACTCACTCACTCACTCACTCACTCACTCACTCACTCACTCACTCACTCACTGTCTACTGACATTTTCTACTCATTTTCTCCCCCCAAGGAGAAAGTTTGCTCTTCTGCAAAGATTACCTCCAAGACAAACATTTTACTTTAATTGCAATCAAATGCACTTCCACGATTTGGCTACCATTCCTTCCTAGACTGAAATCAAGGGAAAGTTGTTTTTTTAAAAAAAAATCATCTGTGAATGTTGAAGCAGCGACAGAGAATGTCAGGACTATAATGTGGAAAGGAAGAATTGCCTGCCTCTGTAAATGGATAGAACCCCATGGAAGTCTAGCACCCGCCCGGTCAACAGACAACTAGATTACCGGAAAATCACTTAATCAGCTATGGAGTGGTGTTGGTAGAACCAAAGCAAACCTAAGAAAATTGGGGTTTTTTGCACTGAGACAAGCTATGGAGTGGTGTTGGTAGAACCAAAGCGAACCTAAGAAAATTGGGGTTTTTTTGCACTGAGAAGAGAAAATTCTTTGTGAGTGCAAAGAAGCACAAGCAATTTTACACCTATGCCAGCTTACTCTGTGCCCTTGACACACAATTTGCAAGATTTGATGTAAGCTGTCCCAAATGCTCTTGATGTTGCCTGTTATCGGGCAAAATATTAACTAATACACTAAGCTTTCAAATTTTATTTTTATAAACCAGTTTGCATTTTATATGGGTCTATATACAGTACAAGCCATTCTATGCTGCAGCCAATTAATGATATCATGATGCTTCTGACCTAAATAAATAAATACTTGCAAGACTGCTCAGACTTTTAACGTTAGAGAAACGTTTGCAAAACAGAACAAAGGCAAGGGAGGGGGTTACTTGGTTCTCCTACCCTTCTCCTTTTAGCTCAAGGACAGCAATGCAAAGATAATCTTATCTTCCCTGCAAGTTTGTGTTCTGAGGAAATATTTACCTTTTCCCCATACATTTCAGGAATAGCAAGCATGTTGAAATGTACTTGTGCAGTAAATGGGTAATGAGCAATTGGTTTTTTTTTAAAACAAAACAAAACCCTGAGATTTATTTTATTTTGGCATTTACAGAGCCATCAACTGGAGCAATGCAAACAGACTTACAACCTTATTGTGCAAATACCCTGCATATTAAACTAATACGCATAGTAAACTACTACAGTGTATGGTGCCAATAGTCATTTGTTCCTATTTAGAGCACTCTGTAAAATGTCATCTAATTAAGAAGGCTGAGTGTTATTATGCTCTTATATGCAATGAAGGAGGCAACAGAACTATCTGAGAATGGTGTGTTTCAGGGGGAAACACCCAAAAGCAAAGCAAAAAATAAAGCACATTATTTTCCCTGGCTCAGACCATCCTAAAATGAGATTTATTCATCCCACATTATAGTGGCTTCTAACCACACAACCACCTTTTGGCCAGTGTCCTATTGTCAAGTCCCAACTAAGGAAAGACTCACTGAAGGGCTGGTATTCCATTGGATGGAATGGAAGGTCAACCCTTATATAAGTCACATTCAGTGAACGGGTCTAGTCTAGTTGTGATTAGCAATGGGATACTGGTTTGTGTGGGTTAAAGACAGAGAGAGAATAGCAAACGATCACTCAGGTTAGGGTGCAATCAGGCAGCAATACAGTATAGGATTGTGTTGTCTCATGCTGGAAAGGATTGCTTTGCTCAGTGTGATCTCTTCCGGACGCGTGCAATCTGGTTCTGATTGCTGAAGCCCAGCTCCAGAAAAAGAATATCCCTGCCACTGGAAAAAAAAAGGTCTGGATTGGGCAGAGCTGGGCTAGTTTGCTATTTGCTCAACCTTGTGTAATGGCCAGAGAATGGCTTGAACTGC